AGACAAAACTATGACAGATTTTATGATCAAAATAGATGGGAAACTCCTTGAACACGAAAGATTTACGTCTAAAGAGAACCTAGGCAGGGTTCCTTTAGAGGGTGGAATGTTAAACATGGATAATTATTTTATTATACTGGTTGTTATATAGCGCAAATTTTTATATGTCGGATTCATTTAATTAACACTGTTGCATAATATAATTTAATATCATAATATACAAAGTTAATTGAAGCTTTAAACTATGACTATTTACATATACAAAAACATTCACTAAATAATATATTATTTTATTTCTACATACGAAGAACCATCAATTGATTTACCTTAAATTGATTTTAATAGATATATATATATTTAAAGTTTTTGACTGATGATGCACGCGATAATTTTACTTGTTAATAAAAATTATTTTTTTTAACGACTTGATATATATATTTTTGCTTTTTATTTAAACACTAATAAAAGAATAAATTTAATTGCATTTTTATTATTATTTGGAGATATCGTTATTATTTATTCTAAAGCAACGAAACCAGTCTTACATATTCTTATTCTACTACCGATTCTTTTTAGCGCAATTATTCTTTATTTGCGTCAAACACAATTTATATTAACTTCACTTAATAGTTTCATTAAAATTTTTAATAGATTTTTTTTATATATAAAGAATAAATTTATTATATTTTTTTAGTTAAATTTTATATATATTTTTATAAATAAAAATCTTAAATTTTTTTGTTAAATCTTGTCTAACTCCCTGCCATTAACATTAGTATAAGTTTGATATATATATAAATTTGGCATGGATTTATATGATATATTGGTAGAAATTATGCTATTGAATATTTTTTTTTTAAATTATGAAATCTTTATATTTAATATATATTTTTTTTAAATTATGAAATCTTTATATTTAATATATATTTTTTTTAAATTATAAAATTTTATAAAATTTTTTATTTGCATGTATTATACTGTGTTTATTGTAATTTTTATTAAAGGGAAAATATTTTTATGGATAAGGTCAGCCATGTGTTGATGGGTGTGCCTTAACATGGAAATATTGTTTAGTTTAAATACTTGAGAAAGTTTTTTTGTAAATTCTTTTTTGTAAATTTTTTTATGCATTATGTAATAATTTTATAGCACATCACATTTTACTATGTATATTATGAACATGTATTTTTTTATAAAAAAAAAAGCTCAGATTATTTTATATTGTGATTGTTATATTAAAATTCTCTACATGTATACCATATAACCCATTATATTATCAATTTTTGTTACTTTGCATTCTACATTTCTGTGAATCCGTGCTAATTGTGATGGCAGAGTTAAGTAGAAATGGTGTATTTTTCTTAGGATACTGAGTAATTCCTAGGAGAAGAATATTTTATTTTCTACGTATTATATATTTTTCCTACCTATAAAATATTAAATTTATTTCTATACATATTCCTTGTAATTTTATTTAAAATCTTTGTTCGGCAAATTTTCGCAATTATTTTTAATACCTAAAAATGGATTTTTATATCTATTTTAGGAGATATTTATAAAAAATGTAATTTTTTTTTTTACATGACAGAAGGAAAGTTACATGTGTTGAAATTGCATTTCAAACATAGACCATTTGTTCACATTACAGCATTGTATGCAAAATCATTGTTTCCTAATTCTCATTAATCAGACCCCGAATAATGTATATTATAACTTCTAGTTCCCAAATGTCTTAAAATGAATAAATTATAATATTTTACTGATATTACATTGTCAATATTAATGTTACATAGATTATAAATACGGATACCACGATGTAAATGTCATTATTGATAATATGTTTTCCCACGATTATATATTGAAATGTATCGGAGATATTATACTATAAATCATCATAAAAGAAGACGATTAGATAAATTCCCTGAACGTTTCCAAGGCGTACCGAAAGTTGATACAATTCAAATGGAAGATTCGATACAATACCACCAGAGAGAGAGGGACGCTGGGCCTGTGAAAAGTGGGCGTGTTGTAGGAGTTAGAAAAAAGAAGAAATAAATTTAATATAATATACAAAATGTCAGTCATTTTTATGACATGAATAATTAATTTTCCTTGGGGGAAGAAGAGAGAATGGGGAGATTACGAGATGCCAGCAAAAGAACAAAGAAGATATATTGGATTATTGGAACCGATTTTGTAATGTGATAGTTATTGGTATTTGTTTATATCTATTATTATAATCCACAAAAAACGTCAATCAAATTTAGCCAATAGTGTTCTTTTAAAAAAAATTTGTCGAATAAAAATGATCATAGGGTAATCGGTCCAATAGGAATCATCTTACACACGAAACATTCATACACTTACCATTTCATTCACTTCACATAGCAAAGCAATGGTATCCAGATGGCAAGTAAATTTTTATTATTAATAAATAATTTTTAATTTTTTTAGAGTTAGAAAATCAAACATTTTTTATTCCTCCTCCTAAATCTATGCATAAAAATATCAGTTCAGAAGAACAACAATGTGCATTGAATGCACTGAATAAATGCTTAATATTATACATATTCCCAAGTAATTTTTTTGTTTATAACCAAAAAATTTATTGAATATAATAAACAGTTGGAAAACTAATAATAACTTTTATTTTGAAAGATAATTTTTCCATAAAATATATATAAATTATTATATTTATAGGAATATTTTTATTAATAACTATAGGGTTGATCTAGTTATTATTCAATAATAATTAACAAATAATAGTAACATAATGTACAGTATTAGACATAAAGATAGCAATTTCATTAAGGTAATACAGTTAGTTTTATATACATATATAAAATAATATTGTTTCCAGATGTCAATTTTTAGATTCCTAAAATAAAAAACTATTTTATATTCTGTGTCCAAAATGTTTTAAAATAATCCTTAAAATTTTCCCAAATTAATAACAACATTTTGGATAAATTAAGTTTTAAAAAAATTAAAATATTCAAAATGTTTGATATGATTCAATTATTAGTTATTTATTAAAAGATATGTAAATATTTAATTGTATTTATTATTATATATTACCTTTCAGTTATTAAACTTTGTATGAACTTATTATTTAATAATGGTTATATTTACATTTTATTTATATACTTAATAAATAAATATATGTTGTAAATAATTGTATCAATATTTAATAAACAGTTGGAAAACTAATAATAACTTTTATTTTGAAAGATAATTTTTCCATAAAATATATATAAATTATTATATTTAAGTTTAATAAAATTATAATAGAGATGATGGAATATTTTTATTAATAACTATAGGGTTGATCTAGCAATAACAAATAATATAACATAATGTACAGCATTAGACATAGGGATAGCAATTTCATTAAGGTATGATGCAGAACCCTTTTATATTTTTGCCTTTTAATATTTTACATTTGTCTGTGTCAATTTTAAAATTGACACAGAATATTTTTTCTTTTAACCATATATATACTGTTTGACATATAGTAGATCCTTATTTTCCAGCACCTTTTAATGTTACGATCTTTAATATGTATTCATGAATTTCATATAATGATAGGTAAATCAGATATTTCCCCTTCATTTGATGATAATTTTGAAAAATTTTCCCAATTAATATATACATATATTAGACAGATTTAATTCTTATAAACCCCTTACTATTTTTCAGGATCCAAGGAAAAAATAAATTATACTGAGTTTTCCTGGGCATGGTAAATATTTTTCACAAATAATTTGGATTTGAACATAGCTTGCTAAACATTTTTCAAAAAATTTTTTAATTTTAAATATGTGCTAGAAATTGGCCTGATTTTTGAAGACATGGCCAGGCCTGATCACAAACCAAGGCCCATGACTTTCATATTCTGATTGTATTTTTAAATGCATTGTGACTTTTTATATATTTTATTTCAGTTCTCAACTACCAAAATTATTATGGTCTTTGGCAGGTTTGAGAAAATTTTCCCAAGTGCGTGGATCTGGCTTGGGAATTTTTTTAATATTAGGCATAGGTGTAATATTTAACACAATTTATATGGCCCTCAGGTAAAAGCTAATTTAAATATTATTTTTATCCAAAAAAATAGTATTCACTCTTAGTCTAAATGGGTTAGCCTTGGTCTGAAGTAGGGGTGAGCTGGGTTAAGTTTGAATAAAAAATAGATATGGTTTTTAGAGATTTACCTATCTCCAGGTTTGGAAAAAAAATTTGAAAATTACTATGGGTTGGCCAGGCTTGAGAAAATTTTTTATAAAATTATTATAAGTTAAACTGGGCTTGGAAAATATTTTCATAAATTATATTGGGCTGGGCTTGGGGAAAATTATTATGAGCTTGGACGTTTGATAATTTTTTTATTATTAACTATGGGTCAGACATTGGCCTAAAACAAGTTATTTATTTTGCAGGTCTGGGCTCGGCCTCATCAAAAAACCAAGGCCCATAAATCTGATTTTTATTTTATTTTTAAATTCATTATGATTATTTAAATGTTTTATTTCAGTTCTCAACTACCAAAATTATTATTCATCCATCATTGAGCAAAGAAGAAAATCCTGATTTCCAGTCATTCTTGACGCGTTATCATCTAGTATTTTTATATTAGTTGTTATTTTATCATTGTGAATAAAAGGAATTTTGGATTTATAAGATATATTATTAAAGGGAAGGATTGAGAGTAAGGGGCATTCTTCACAGATTTAAACTATTGTGATGAATATATAGAAATTTTATATATATATTTAAGATTTAAATTTTCCTTAAGTTTGATATTTAGATTTATATATATTAATTCTTAGTATTATTAATTAACTATTTAAAATTTGATTAATAATATCATATTTTAGATTACTATTCTTAAGTTTGTTATAAAAAAAAAAATTTTCTTGCAAATTAGATCAAAATTTGATAATACAATTTATTTTTTTTATAATTAGCAACAATTTTAAAGTAATAAAACATTCCTCATTTTTCTATAAAAAATAGGACAGGTTTTTTTATAAATATTTTGACCTAATTCATATAGGACTAAAGACGAATTGTTTAAACTCTCTCTAATACCCACAAGACAGCAAATCCCCCATCACACATAAGGCCATTTGTCAACTGACAAGAATTGAATTCCTGTAAAATTTTCCAATTAGCGGTTAAATGTTGTAATCGATTGTAACCATATATTCTATGAGCATTCCACACTAAACTCGAACCATTTTGATGGAAGGGTACATTGAGAAATAAAATTGCTCCTGGTTTCATTACACACCACATTTGAGCCATCGCTTCTAAATCTCCATATGGATTCAAGGGATCACCAAATCTTCCTAGCCCCGAATGTTCGATTGACGAAAATGATATTGCAAAATCAAACATAAGCGAATGATTTTTCCTGCCCTTTTTACTCCGAGTTAAACTTGATTCACGTAATTTATTTTCGTCCATAATTGTCAATTGTTGATGCCAGATACGATATAATTGAAGCTGTGTCAACGTTTCTATCTCATCATCTAATGAAACGGTCTTTATGTAATCAAACATATACATTTTAGAAGCCCCATTCAGCAGAGCTATCGATGTAATCCAAGGGTCACTGCTACCGAAATCCAGTCCTATTTTATCTTGCACCCCTTGCGAATATTTAATTAAAGCCGCTTGTAAAAGATCTTCTTCGACTATTCCATACGTTGACATTTTCCATCTTAGGGCCCTGGCTGTAATTTTAAATTGTATTTCTTCTTTCGTGATAGGTGTCGATTTCATATTACCTAAATATTTTTCTTGAAAATACCATAAATTTTTATCTAAGGGCATCCTGCCAAACATCGTAAAATCATCGTACATTTCAATGGGTGGTTGTTTAGGCGGTGGCCATTCTGTTTTAATTGTTTTGGTTAATTTTTTCATCATTAAGGGGCAATCGATATTTTTTATGATGAAAGGCCAAAATTTTGTGGGGTACCCGTGAATATTAAGATCACAAACTTCACCACAAACCTCCGGGTCGGTATAATTGATACGTTTGTATTTTATTTTTGCGAGATTTGAAGAATTTTGAGCATGATGCTTGAATTCTTTGGTATCATTAAGGCTATGAATTTTATTTCTGTCGTGTGATGTATACAAGATATTATATTTGTCCCATTGTAAAATAGAGCGACTTTCGAGAATATACGAGGACTTCTTCAACCATCTAATGTTTATTATGAATAAGGTAATAGACAAACCGATTAAAATGGTTTTACACATATTTATACAGAATGAGGTGGTTGAAAAAATATGAGTAGTGGATTGCATATAATACGTTAAATTTTATTAATACAATGATAAAATTATTATAATGAATTAGATGATTATTCATATTATTTTTTAGTTTTTGTAAATCAAAATAATGTCGCATTTATATATTTTTTTATATTATAATATAAACTTGTAAACCATATAATTTGAAATATAAAATTAAAATGAAAGTAAAATAACCAATAAACTCGGGACCTCTCCTAGTTATAGATATTCTCTACCGCCCTTAAAAATATTTCCTTTATTTTACCTAATTAATTGAATTTTGTATAAAAATATGAAAACGGTCATTCTATAAAATCGGATGTCGGACTACAATTTCCCAAAATTTTAAATTTAATAATGTCAAAATTCAGGATTATGAGAGATTTTTTTTAACTTTCATAAATTATAAGGGCATTTAACCAAAAGTGCACTATATCACATCGTGAGTCATCAATATCCTTTAAGGGTAAATGTTCTTTTTTATAGCTTAGAAATATTGAGAGCTAGGGTTAGCATTATTTCACATTTTTTGAATAAAAATCATAGTTTAAATAATAATATTTTATGTTTTTATTATGTATATCTCATTTACTTAAATTTTTAATGTCTTAATTAAAAATTAGTTGCAAATATTATTAGATCAAAGGATTTTACATGTTCCGCATTACGTTTAATCTTAAAGTTAATTTTTTGGTATATATTATAATAATAAACTGCTTTAAATTTTATTTAATATTGGTACAAAAAATTTTAAATTTACTTCTAGTATTTCTGTTCTGTTTATTAATTATTTATTCTATATTATGTTTATCTACTAAAAATTTCAGTTGTTTATAAATATTAATTCCAGTATATATGGCGTTAGGTAATTTGTAATTCATGGAGATTCGAAATCTCTCAATTTTAAATCAGTTAATAAGAAGAAATTTTTTAAATTTGTAAAAACCTGGTTTAATCGTAAACGTATTTCAGCAGATGTAGAGTATGCAGCTCTTAATTTAAACTAATTTTTATATTTTTATGTAAATTTTTATTCATGATGAAAATTGATGAAGGGTAGATAGTCTATACATGGTGGAACACTTTTCCAATCAAGGTTTTCAAATTTAGAAATCACCCCCATGCAAATGATTTAAAATTGAGATATTCCGAATTCCCTTGGATTCCACCAATGCGGCACATATTAGAATTAATATTTATAAAGTGGATCCAAGTTATATTAGTATATAAACAAAATATAGAATAAATATTTATACATGACAGAAAAACCTAGAGAGAATTTTGAGAACTAGATTGATTTCTTTAACAATACTAATGTTTTTTTTTAAATTGCAGTTTAAAATTTTCCAAAAATTTAATTTTAGAATTAACGTAACGATGTAAATCATTTACTTTATTAATAATATCAGCAATTAATTTTTAATTTAAACTAACTATAAACATACAAACATAAAATGAAATTGATTTAAATCATAATTTTTATTCAGAAATTGATAGATCAATTTGATTCAATCATGTTAATAGTTCTTAATAATTTTTAGGCGATAAAAAGAAAATGAACCTTTATAGAATATTAATGTTTCGGATAATTATATGAAATTTTGGTTAAATATCTTGTTCAAGAAATTAATTATTTTTGCTCAAAATTCTGAGTTTTGACATTAAATTATGAAATTACAAAATCAATCATAATCAGTAAGAATATATATAGGAATATAATATTTTTGAGTAGAGACCTATACCTAGGTTCAATTCTATTTAGAAAGATCTTTCCTACTTTATACTTATTTTTTTTTCATTTTGATGATCAATATCAAATTTGATTTCAAATTATTTCTATTAGAGGTTTATACTATAATATATAGAAGAAAATATATAAACGACATTATTTCGATATATACTTTTCTAAACAAAGAGAAGATAATGTGAATAATTAACTATTCATTATAACAATTTTATCATCTATTCATTAAATTAAAATAACTTTATTATTGTATTATTATAATAATTTAACATTTTATATGTAATCCACTATGTATATTTTTTTTAAACAAAGATTTTATATCAAATAAATCTGTGCAAAACCATTTTAATGGGTCTATCTTGTCGTGATGTTGGTTTTTATTAATTATTTTTTTGGGATTCAAATTATGTTCCGAATATAAAAATTTATAACAATATAAAAAAAACTAATAAATATTTGAATAACGCAAGGTCTATAAGTCGAAAGGCTTGGTAATACGAAAGGCTAAAAAATAATATTGAAAATAAAAATAACAAAGAAAATGATTAATGAGATATTTGATTGATTTATTGCTTTTTTTAGAGAAAAAGTATTATAATTACATTACATTATAATATATTAAAAATATGGAAATTTTAAGATCTTTTCAATTTTTTTATTAATTCTTTGAAATAATTTGCGGTTTTTAAAAATTAATTTTATATATTAATTTTTAAATTATGCAATCTACCGACCGCACCCTATTCTCTTCCCTGCTCAATGGTACGGGACATGAGTTTCTTGAGGCCATCCCTTCTACCAATCTTCAGCTTCAACTATCTAACAATGAATTTACCCACGCCATCGGCATTCGTCTAAATTGTTCCATCACTCACCCTCACATCTGCTCAGGGTGCAACTCGCCAGTTGACTCGAAGGGTAGACATAGTTTACATTGTCGCTCCTGCAATGGACGATTCATCAGACACAAGCAATGTAATACAATCATCCAACATGCTCTGAAATCCGCCCAAATTCCTTCCACTATAGAACCACAGGGTCTTTTTAGATCTGACGGTAAACGTCCTGACGGGATCTCTCAAATCCCATGGAGGAGAGGCCAACTTTTGGTATGGGACTATTCCTGTATTGACCCCTTGGCCCCATCCAACCACGCCATCAACATCCTTGACCAGAAGGAACAACTTAAAACTTCTAAATACACAGAAATAATGAACGATCATTGCTTTATCCCAATCATATCAACCACTCTTGGCACCTTCGGCAAACTCGCCTTAGCATTTTTCAAAAACTTAGGATCACAAATCAGCAAACTCTCAGAAGAACCTCGAGAGGGTTTTTTTCTTCGTCAACGACTATCCATAGCGATTCTCAAAGCTAATTATATCAGTTTCAATGGTAGTCTTCTAGCCAAAGAGCTATCCTAAACAACACTTACGTCCCTTTTTCATTTTTGTTTCCCTGCGCCACACCATCTCCGTTCTTTTTTTTAATAGTATTATTATATATTATAATAATATATTTTTGATTTTATTATATTAATTTTTATAATATTTGGTTATGATTTTATATATTAAGTAAGTATAAATATATTGTAATTAGTTGATAAAGAAGTAAATAAGAAATATAAATTTTTTAAGGTTTTTTAATTTGAGAAAGCATTTAAGAAGGGAAAGGCTAACATCTTAAACGTAATTTTGAATATAATTATATCAATGAACTCAGAATTTAATTCTCTATCCAAAACTGCTTAGATAAACTTTTTTACGTTTCCGGTTAATAAAATAATTTTTTTGTCGCGAAAGCCTTTTATAAGGGAAAGGCTAACATCTTAAACGTAATTTTGAATATAATTATATCATTGTACTCAGAATTTATAAGATGTTAGCCTTTCCCCTATAAAAGGCTTTCGCGACAAAAAAATTATTTTGTGAACCGAAAACGTAAAAAAATACATCTAAGGGGTTTTGGATAAAAAACTAAATTCTGAGTTCAATGATATAATTATATTCAAAATTACGTTTAAGATGTTAGCCTTTCCCCTATAAATGTCTTTCGCGACAAAATATTTATTTTGTGAACCGGAAATATAAAAAAATACATATAAGCGGTTTTGGATAGAGAATTAAATTCTGAGTTCAATGATATAAATATATTTAAAATTACGTTTAAGATGTTAGCCTTTCCCCTATAAAAGTCTTTCGCGACAAAAAATTTATTTTGTGAACCGGAAACGTAAAAAAATACATCTAACCGGTTTTGGACAGAGAATTAAAATCTGAGTTCAATGATATAATTATATTCAAAATTACGTTTAAGATGTTAGCCTTTCCTTTCTTAAATGCTTTCTCAAATTAAAAATACCTTAAAAAATTTATGTTTCTTATTTACTTCTTTATCAACTAATTACAATATATTTATACTTACTTAATATATAAAATCATAACCAAATATTATAAAAATTAATATAATAAAATTTATTTATAAATTAATATAATAAAATTAATTTTTAAAAACCGCAAATTATTTCAAAGAATTAAAAAAATTGAAAAGATCTTAAAATTTCCATATTTTTAATATATTATAATGTAATTATTATAATATTTTTTCTCTAAAAAAGCAATAAATCAATCAAATATCTCATTAATCATTTTCTTTGTTATTTTTATTTTCAATATTATTTTTTAGCCTTTCGTATTACCAAGCCTTTCGACTTATAGACCTTGCGAATTTTTTTTACTTAATTTTTTTTACTTAAAATATAATTTTTTACTTAAAATATAATATAAATATAATATTTTTATTACTTTTAAAATATAATATTTTTTCCTTTCTCTTATAAATTAAAAAATATTTTTTTACTTTTTATTATGGATCAGGATATTTTCACTCCATCTGACAGTTTATCTTTTTTGGATGATTCCCCATTTGAAAATTTAAGTCATTCTCAATTTGGTGAAGATTTTCAGGTAAAATTATATTTCAGTTAGCTAAAGTGACTGCCACATAAAATCCTGACCCATATATAAATTATTCAAATAATATTTTATATCGAATATTTTACCACATTTTCAAATTATGCATCATCATTTCTTGATTTAAGAATTAAGAAAACATTTTTATTAAATTTCATAAATAACCTTGGGTTTTATCAAAAATTCAAAAAAGTTTTGATGATTATTGTACATCGAAATCGATATATGATTTCGAGGAGGAGGATAATAATGAATCCAATCTAATGTCTGTCAGTATTCTGAATGAGTTAAGAAGGTAAATATAAATATTTAATTATATAGAATACTCATTATAAAAACTTCTAACAAACATTTTTGAAGCTATATTGGAGTGACTAAATTTAAATATTATGCTTACATTAAACAAAAATTATGATAGTAATTTGAGTTAATATAAATATTTATTAAACATTTAAAAATAGAGACTTAAGAACTTATAAAATCAATAAAGCATATAGTTGCAAAATAGGCATTTTAAAATATGTTTGTTGATTATATAATAAATAGTTAATTTAATTTTAAATATTATATATTAAGGAAATCTTACATTATGCCAAATTTAGACGGAGAAGAAATCGAAGAATATTTAACAGATCCGGTTGCTCAAACCTCTGTTGATATTATAGATTTGTGGCTCGAAACGCTAATCGTTTTCCAAAGCTGTCGACAATGGCCAAGGATTACTTATGCGAACAAACTACGTCCGTAGCAAGCGAACATATTTTTTCTCGAGCTGGCGCAACCATTACTAAGAAGAGGAATAGGATGTCAGCCACAACGTTAAAACAATGCCTATGTATAAATTCATGGGATGTTAATGTTTTAAATTTGCGTGACTAATTTTTTGTATAATTTGTTATTTTTCCATTATTTGTTATTTGATTTATGCATATAATTTTTATTTTTTATTTATGAAAATAATAAAGATATGGCATTATATATTTTGCATTTGTAAATTTTTACTTATAAAATATAAGAGACTTACTTGCGATAAATGAATAATTTTAAATATACCATTTTTAAATTAAAATAGTTATTATTTCTAAAAAGAAAGGGGGGGGGGGGGGGTTTATAGATAAAAAAAATTTAATTCCTAATTAGTAGTATCTCTGAAGGTCTAAATGTTTTACTAATTTTTTTTATGATATTCATTCTTAAGTATGAATATTTGGATTTTGCATAAGTCATCCACACAATTACCAAAGAAAAAAAATCAATTAAAAATTATAATTTATAATGATACATTAGTGGTAGAAAGTATTTAGGGGGTTTAACAAGGCCCGCTAACACTCGCTTTAACAATCGTGATATGTAAACAAAATATTTGTAAAACTCAGAAATTATGAAAAATAATTTAAAATTTGTCAAGAATTATATCCATGATCTTAAATCAAATAATAATTAAAATCTTGTGTTTCAAATCAAATTTGATATAAAAAATTTATAGTAGTTACATATTACTTAATATTTTTATAAGATTAGGAAAAATATATGTTTTAAATTTAAAAATGAGTTCCTTGCTCAATTTGCCCTGTATTTTCCTATTATCTACCAATCCTTTAAAAAGTTTCAAATTATATACCACTCATATCTAATACCAAATATTATAAACTAAGTTTAAGTAAAAAAAAAAAAGAATAAAATATAATATAATAGCAATATCAATATTAAGGTTTAGAAATATTTTTCTAATTATAAAAACTTTTTACTAGTCTGAAAATAAGTATAATTTTTTTTATATTTCTAGATTTTTAAGGGTGGAGTCAAAAAGTAATGAAAGAAAAAATTTCTTACTGAATCCAAATATTTTATAACATCTTTCCAATATCAAAATTTTTTAAATAGGCTTAAAACAATTTTAAATAAAATTTTCCTCATTGGAATAAAATATAATTGCAGTGACACCTTATTACTAGATCCAATAGTTTTAGAAAATAAATATCCAAAACTTTTTACAAGACTTTAAACATAAATAAAATGTTTTTTTAATTTTTACATTTCAAGCGTGGTGTTAAAAAAAATGGCAATATAAATTTCTTTATAAAAATAAAATTTTAGAACTTTATAATATTAAAAACCACTAAGATTAAAAGAAAGTTTTAAAAAAACTTAAAGATGACGATTAAGACAATTGTAACTTTTCTAAGGTACGTATTCACTGAAAATTTAATTTAACTTGTTTACAATATATATTTTTACCTATTAGCTTCAAAAAAATTCGACAAAACTTAAAAATGACGATTATGACAATTGTCACTTTTCTAAGGTACATATTCATTTAAAATTTAATTTAACATGTTTACAATATATATTTTTACCTATTTGCTTCAAAAAAATTCGAAAAAACTTAAAAATGATGATTATGACAATTGTCACTTTTCTAAGGTACATATTCACTGAAAATTTAATTTAACATGACAATATATATTTTTACCTATTTGCTTCAAAAAAATCGAAATAACTTAAAAATGACGATTATGACAAATTTTAACGCAAGCCGACCCAGCAAGCTGACTAGTCGAGTCGGCTCATTGGGTCGGGTCTGATCTATGGCTAAATGAGTTTGCTCGGGTTTAAGGTCGTTTTTTTCGGCTCAAACCTTGCTGGGTTTTCGGCCAAGCCGACCCAGCAATTTAACACTAGTCCATATATATATAAAAGCCTGGGGGCTTTGCCCCCCAGACCCCTTTTAAAGGGCCTTCGGCCCTTTTGCCCTGCCTTCGGCCGGGTTTATCTTACAAATCATAACCATAATAATATATAATAAATATATTTTTTAAATGCTTCAATAATTCGTTATTATGATTTAGTAGGTTATTCTTAATGACTTTATAATAATACTATCCAGAATAATTTCACTAGTAATATAATATCCTTCCACAAACATCAAATCCAGTATAAATATTAATGGTATTTATTTGATATAAAGTCACCACTTTTAAGTCTTTTGAACGTATAATCTAAAAATAAATTTTTGCTCTGGGAGGGGTCCAAACCCGAAAACCACCCCCGTAGCTACGCCACCGAATGAAAGTATGTCTGCAAATCTTATCATAAAACATATTTCCAGTTTATCTTTAAAGAAGAACTAAGAAAACATCCCTATGAAAATAAAAGTTGAATAAAATAAATAAAAAATTATTAAGCCCAAATTTTTATGTAATTATTTTAATTGTGTTAATGTTTTTTAAATACAAATAAAAAAAAATTTCAATGGAAATTATCTATTTAAATTTTATTCATTAAATTTTTTTAATCAAAATTATTACAACAAAAAGTTTATAAAAATGCTTAATTATATAAAAAAAAAATATATAACAACTAACTTTTAACAACTAAAATTGTTTTTAATTTTATGATTGATCAATTTATATAGAAGTTTATTCTCGGGCCAGTTAACTCATACATTGTATTGAATGGCCCTTGTATTAGTAAAAATATATAATTTATAAACTTTATTTTAAATATAAATCATAACAATAATAGAATAAATAATTAAATGACATTACATTTATACTTCAACTAATAAATAAAGAAAAGATTAGAATGTAAATTTGCATTTATTACAAAAAAAAATAGTTTAACTAAGCGATAATTGGTTAATCGAATCAAAAAATTCGGATCCAACTAAAACCATGACGTATGAATCAGCACCAAAACGTCTTCGCATTCAATTTGCTCCCCAACCCCCCCCCCCCCCCCTCTTCCCAATTTAGAAGAACACCTTATATATAATAAATAAAAACATTTACTTTACAAATCATTTAATAATTCATAAGGAATCTTTAGTTTAAAATAAACATTATAATAAGATTTTAAATATAAGAAATCTTTAACATTAAAAAATAAATAATATTTTTTTTAAATTTAATCATACAATAAGATTTAAATATAAGAAAATAAATAAGATCATATGCGGTACACTACACTTGAAAGTGTATATAACTTTTTACATTGAGAATCAGATCACCGGTTAATTTGGTATAGAAATAGGATAATAAACACAATTTTGTTGAATGTATAATTGACTAGTTTTGTTTGTAAAATAAATTGAATGTAAATTAAAATAAATTTAAATAGTCTAAGTTTAATAAAAAAAAATATATATAAAACTTTATAACATATTTTGTACCTCTGTATTGATATTATATATAAAAATGTATTAAAATGAAAACGTAAAAAAATTGGACTAATATTAAAATAGAGTAATCATAAAAATTTTTATATAAATATTTTATTATGAATTAAATTTATATTAGAAGTATGTTTAGAGATTGTAATATTGAAATTCTTTACATTGAGAGTAACGTATGAAAATTTAATATACATTAAGAATTAAAATTAATGGGTTGATATTTTTTAAGGAACCATTAATTACTAATCATTTTAAAATTATATGCGCGGAAAAGATAAATCGTTTCTATCCTCAGTCTGATATCTTAGCACATTTACCATTTACTAAGTCCCTTCCTTCGAAAGGTCTATCCCTCCCATAATAAAGCGTCATAAACTGTAACAGGTTGTTTCGATTCCAGTATTTACCATAATGGATACCATCGTTAATAAAAATTCGACAATTATAACATAATGATGTAGGGGGGAATAATATTTTAGGAGCTAGGGGGTCGTTACTAGAACTATTTGATTTCGAATCTTTGGCTAAACGAGAATTAACAGTGTTATGGGCGGCCCAGAACCAAAATAAGGCTGTGGATGGGTATTTTGGCAGTCTTCGCTTGCTATCAGGCAGAGAAAAGGGTTTATTCAAGAGAGCATTGTTAAAATTTTGATTGAGATCGTTGGAAGATTGATCTGATTGAATTTGACGATATCGCAAATTTCTACGGTAACGACTCGATCTGACGGATAAATTTTGTTTAAGAACTGGTTGTATGGGTTGGTTTTCGAACAAATTTAGAGAAATAGACTGGTAAGCCGTTAGGAGATCGGAACTCATGGCCAAGAAGTGAGTGGTGCATTCACGGCAACCGAAAAAGTCACGGAGATAATCCCGGATAATTAGCAAAGTAAGGAGACCGTCTTGGTAAGCATCTGGGGATTTAAAAAAATTAAGGAACACTGTAACTAATATAAATAAAAAGTATATATTAATCTCACAGAAGAGGAAATTTGGACACTTTAGAAAAAATATTATATTGCCCCCTTTTCCTAGAAATTTAAAAGTGGGAAATATTAAGAATGGGATCCAAAATCAAAGCTAGAAATCTTTAGATAAGCGGAATTACATGGAAGTATAAAAATAATTACGAGTAACGGAATTTTTATAAGCGTTGACGGTTAAAGTGTGGAATAAAGTCCAGAGACCACAGGTGTAACCTCTCAGGGTGGGTTGACTGCCCTTGCAACCTATCCATTTTCGATGTTCGGGAGGAAAAACATAGCTTGAAACGTTCTGGTGATTTTTAAAAAAAATTTTAAATGATATTTCTGATGTTCAATATTTTTAAAAATATAGATATGTTTCTTTAAACAAAATTCAAAATTGTTATTAAATTAATTAAGTGTTGTATATACCTGTTGTTTATGTCTGTATAATCTATTTTATAGCAAACCAACGTATTTAAATTTTAAGTAAATTGAAATTTTAAATTACCAATTAAATTAAGATATTATATATTTTTAAGTACATTATAACAATTTCGTAACTATAGACCGGTTTCGATATTGTTAGATCTCATCATCAGTATAACATTACTCTTAATATCATTGTATGTACATTGATAATGAATATTTAATAGAGCTGTATTCAAAAAAGTAACGCATTCTTTCGTTACCTTGCAAACAAAAGTAACATGTTACCGTCACTTTTCGTTGCCTAAAAAATATTATATAAATTTTATTTTTAACAATTAATCAATATTTTGATCAGATATACAAAAGCGCTTAATGTTTAGTAATGCTTTCGCTGGGCTAAAAAACGTTTTCTTACACATGAGAGGGTTGTATTAGGGCCATTCCATGTTAAATCTATCATGATTAGGCCGACCCCTTTAATATTGTTACAAATATTTGGAATTATTTAGATAGGTAAAAAAATGAGAAAGCCGTTTATTTTAACTCGCTTATACACCTTGTTCCCGAGATACAGGGCTTCAGAGGTGCGAAAAATAGCGACTTTCTAATCTGCATTGAAAAAAATCTCTAAAGGTCTATAAGAAAAAAATTAGGCGCCAATTTGAGTCTTTAACTTCCGGTTTACCTATATTGCCTTCCCATGTTTTTAAGCAATAAAGGGAGTTGGTTTTCTAAAAAATTTTGTTGCCCTACATCTTTTATAAATATATATAAGATGTAAACTTGGCGACGCAATCGGCCCTTCCGAAATATGTATTTTTACCAAAAATTGAAATATTTAAATGCTTAAAATATATGGCGCTATATAAAACTACAAATTATTGTTAAAATTTTGTTTCTAATTTATCAATAATAGGATATTTTCAGAAATTTATACTAATATATCTCGAATATTAAATGTACCAATTAAATTGAGGGGTAGAAGTGCCAAATACCCTTTAGACATCTTATAATGTATCAATTTAATTCACATAAATATTCGCGTGAAATGTAATAATTAATATTTGAGATTCTATTTAATTTGAATAAAATTTATATCCTGGTAAATTGGATAAAAATATAAAATTTTTGCGTTCCTGATATTGAGCTCTATATTGAATCTCTTTTGAATTATTTGCTTTTTCTCATATTCGTCATCTAAATAAAAAAAATCTATTCCTTAATAAAAAATATAATATATATTAATAAACTAGAAAATTTATACCTTTAATATTTTTCTTAGAATAGGCAAAAAACTCTTTATGACAAGTTATTTATTCTGAAACAGGTCTTACGTTTCATTGTACCACCGACCGTCACATACCGATTTGCCATGAGATGTGGCCCATAATGAAATCATTTTCATAAGTGGTTACGATTGATTTTTTTTGCGATTCTTATATTGTGATGCTGCTCCATCTGAAAAGTAGCAGATTTGGATGGTTTTAAATTTCCAGTTAAATAGCAGACTAAATATTTTTGAAATAAGTGAATGGCAACTGAATGAGATTCCGATATTACGTAGCTTAAATGAATTAAACTTTTAAGTGTCTTGTAATTAATCGCAAAAGGATGAATGGTAACTTGTGCTTTATCAATAATATCCTAGTATTTCACCTTAAACCACAAGAGAATAATTTTCACCAAAATCTGCTTTTATTTTAATAGAATTCATGCCTTAAAAAGTTTTTGAGATATAAAAAATTAAAAATTTTACAGGTGCGAAAATTTCGCATTTTTGAGGCTCTGTATCTTGAGATGTGAGTTAAAATAAACCCATTTATATTATTTTCTGATCTAATAATTCTAGCAATTTTTAACAATTTTAAAAGGGTCGACCGAAAATAGAACTATTTGGCTTGACATAAATGGCACAGAAATTCAAAATATTTTAGCATAAACAATAAAGATATCTTAATATTGTTGAATTAGCAACAAAATTTTAACCATAATTCGTAGTTTCGTATAGCGCCATCTATTTTATGCAAATAAAATTTTCAGTAAAAATGCATATTTCGGAAGGGCCAATCACCAAAGTTTTACATCAAATATATACTTATAAAAGATGTCTAAAATTCCGAAAACCAACTCCCTTTATTGTATAAAACACGGGTAAAGAAATATAGATAAATGGAAGTTAAAAACTCAAATTGGGGCCTAATTTATTTTCTTATGATAGACCTTTATAGATTTTTTCTTACCTACAATTTGATATATTATATAAATTTTTACTATAAATAGTGAGATATAATAATTTTAAAATTTTACAGATTCGAAAGTCACAATTTTTAGCATCTTTGAGGCCCTGTATGGAACTAAGTGTGCTAGCAAGGTTAAAACAATTCTAGAAATATTTAACAATTTTAAAGGTGGCGGCCGAAAACGTGCCTTTTTGATTGATTTGACTTGGAATGGCCCTATAAATAATTGTTTTACTTAATTTTATCCTGAATTAAGTGGGACTGCTAACCACCATTTCAATTTTTTAATTTTATTTATTATTTCATCTGAAAACATTTTTTATTAAAAGGGTCATATACAGCTTAAAATTTTACCAAGATGGATAAGAGAGGATTACAAAAACAACCATTATAATAATCAATCTCTAATTTCATTGGATAATGCATCAGGATACTAAATTGGGAAATAACAGTAGCCAAGATTTTAGATAAATTTTTAATTGTAAGCTTTTTATTTAATAAAATATCAAGTTATTTCATGGCTTATCTATATAAAGTTTTTCAAAAATTCCTGACTGGGTCTCCTGAAGCATGATATCTGTAATTGCAAGAAAATAATATATTGAGGTAAAAAAAATATGATATAAATGATATTTTTAAATCTAAATATGTATCTCTAATTAAAATATATATTAACAAATAATTTAGCAACTTTTTATTCTCTCCAATTACAACACCTATCATATTCGCTTTTCATAATTTAGCTAATAAAATAAAAAATACAAACGCTTGAATCTTGGGAATTCTTATGTCAGAATATACAATTACAATTTTTTTTCCTTCTTTTTAATTAGCATATATATATATTTTTTAAATATTTTTCATTTAGTTTGGCACAAATTTACATAGGATTAGGGTCATTCCATGTCAAATCGATCACGATCCTCTTGAATCCTTGGGATTTAGGAAAAGTTCTGTATACAAAGGTAAATGTAACTAAAGTAGTGTTCAAATTTTAATATCCTAGCTCATATATTTTTGGGGATATCAAGAATAATGTATAAAGTCACCTATTTTTACGCTTATCATGTTGTAAATATTTTATTTATTTTTTAATATGATGGATTTTTAACCACATTTCTGAGTTTAAAATTCTTGTAAAAAATAATATGTTTCTTCGATTTTTATAAAATTTTAAGCAAGTGTCAGTAGGACCAATCTCTATCTGTATAAAAAAAATTAGAATGCCAATTATTCGCTTTCATAAAATAAAATCAATAGATAGCATGTTCTTATCAATAAAATGAAATAGTACACAAATGTGTTATGTAGAATCTTTACTATAATAAGAATATCTTCAATGAAGACGAAAACTTGGCATATTAATTTTTTTTAATATACAGATTTTGGTCGTGACATTTGTTTAAAATTTTATAAAAATTGAGGAAACCTATTTCCTTTACAAAGATTTACTTAAAAAAGAGGTTACATATTGACCTTTGATATTTCCAAAAGTTGAGCTAGGAATGCTTAATTGATACACTGTTTTAGTTATGTGTACCTTAGTTTGTATATAAAATTTCATCCAAATTCGAAGGGATCCCGTAAAAATCATGTTTCTTTGATCAATTTGACTGGAATGACTTTATATTTGAATCTTTTTTGAAAATAACTAAGTACATAAGGTTAAATTTCGACATAATAATATACAATTTATAATTACAATTTGTTTTTATAAAAATATGCAATTATCTTAATTAAATAAACAGGTAGTATCTACTATATATAGTGTACTTTAATTCTAAAAGCTTATTTATTCAAAATTTAATATTAAATATTTATTATGCATTTGCATATAATGTAACATGTGTTTTAAAAGTATGTCTTTACATACCTTGTTAATATTTAAGACCGTTTTCTGTTTTATTTTTTAAAATTCAAAGTTAGAAAAATAAAGAATGCAGGAAAAATATAAGCCTATTATGCAAAAATTTGAGGGCCCGCCGTCAATGTTTCTTTTAATTTTCTCATAAAGAGATGAGAGTAATAATTAAAGGCCACCAAACTGAAAAAAGCATTGAGGGAAGGAAATATGCTCTCAGCTCAAAATCAGGAATACTAAAGAGCTTAATGAAGATTTTGAACATAAAATGGTTTCTTACATGAGTTTTCATATATCTCACAAAATCCTTATTAGTTAACGGGATATTCACAAGAGTGGTATTAAAGATAGAGGGAATTCCGATAGTCGAAAAAAGATCGTGTTTCATGCGCGTCAAAAATTGGTTAACGCGTTGGTCTCCATATCTATTAAATAAAACATAAGGGTAATATTATTAGATGGAATTTTATTCATTCGTGCTGTTATATAATCTTTCATTTATAATCTATTTGTAATATTTTATGGTTAAACAGAGTCAAGTCCTAAAAATAAAAGTATATATTTAATTTTCCAAATTTTTTTTAAATGAAAAGTGCAATTTTATATGTAAATAATTAAGATAACCTGGGATAAAACAAACCAATCACGTGAATCATACGAGCCAATGAGGTGCGAGAACGAGGATCAAATTTGACTCGTCGTGGAACTTCTTGAGTTAACATGTTGTAGAGTGCGTACTCGAGATCTTCAACAAATACACAATTGTAATGGCCTCTTGATGTATTATTTAAAAGAACCATTTTTATTTATTATCTATATATGGAAAGGACAGTGTTTAAAACATGGAAATGTATTTTATATATTGTAAGTGGCCGTTACTCAAATTTGGTATTTTGATTGATGATAGTGTCCACTTCGTTAATATATTGAGCTGATGTTGTGGTTGGGGATCGAGTGGAAGATTTAGTTGCAATCGTAGATTTTAAGTAATTGACTATATTAAGATCGTTTATTAGTTGACGTGGCTCATAAGTTGAGCTATTGCTGTTAATTAACAAACAAACAAAAAGATCGTAAATGAATTTGGAAATTGCGTGATTGGCATTTAGTTCTAATTTAATGAATAAATAGAGAAAGGCGTTAACTTGATATACAGATTGCCTCTATTATTATAGACTTTATCAAATTGTTATATTTTTAGTAAAAACATTCCTTTTAAATAAAATTAAAATATACGTAAAAAGAAGAAATTTGGCTTTATTTGGTTTGGCAAACAACTTAACCAGCAAAGCTCCATCGCCGTCCCTAGGAGGAATTTGATCCTCATTGTCAGTTACAATATTTCTCTTGATTAGGAATCGATGTAAGACATTGTTATAATTTTCGAAATAATCATCTGTCATATTTTTGTCGACAGAGATTCGAATTTGGATAATCAAAGATTTGAGGTGTTGCGAAGTGAGCCCTGTGTATTTGGATAAGATTTCGAGATATTGGAGTGCCGTGATAGGAGATATTCGGAAAAAAGAAACCCTGTTTTTGACTAGAAGGCCGTTCATATCTAAAATGATCTGAATTTAATATTAAAATGACTTTTATCAAACTCTTTATAATGCAATGTGGGATATTATTGGATTGGGTTAATTATCTGTACATAATGGTTTCTATTTGTATTGATAGGGCAAAGTCAAGGTGAGATTAAAGTATTATAAATATAAAATCCGGATATTAGATAACCAAGTTTTTTCAGTAGTTTAATTTTAAAACAATATTCAAAAAATTTGATTTATATAGAAAAGATACCAATTTCCTAGTAAACCTTTTAGATTTTTATATATTCAAAATGTATATACGGTCTTGGTAAAACGTCTTATCAGGCAATTTAAAAAAAATATGCGAACACGCGTATTTTGTAAAAATAATGCGTTTTTATTGATGCACGTAATAAAATGTGCAAATATTTGATATCTGTTTATATTGTTTACAAAAATTTGCGAATTTTAATTTCTAGCGAATTTTAATTTCTAGCGAAGACAAAAGCGCATCCTTGAACCATGAGATTAGGCAAATGCATTGGGATTTTATTTGCATAGATATTTTCTAGTGTTGTTAAAGAACTTGTTTATTTTTACAAAATAATAACTGAAACTAGTGTTAAATTTTTTGGATGGTAACTGAAAAAATAACTAGTTACTTTTTAATATATTTTTATAAATCTTAAATAAATATATTCCGATAATTATTAATATTTAATATTTTATAAGAAATTAAATGTATTAATTTAAAATTTTGTTTAAATGTCTGATTCTGTATGTGCGCCTTTTTTTATATGTAATATTGAATTAATAATTGATCAGACTATCAGACAGCAGAATATAATATGAATTCTGACTCGTCATTTGATGAGGATGACATTCAAAATATTCAATGATGAAATAAAAATTGTACCATCCTCTTCTACAACTATTACCAAAACAACGTTAAATAAAAAAAATACCTTGGTCAAAGATCGAAAAATATTTTGGATTTAACAAAGAAAAGGCTGGTAGTATAGGCAATATTGTGTTAACTGTCTCCTATGAAAGAGGCACATTTATCTAAGTCACCCAGAGCCAATCTATGGAAGCACATCTCTAAGTTTATTTTCACATAACTAGTCTTAAATAATTATACTAAGTTTTAGTTTCATGTAAAGTAACAAGATCTTTTTTCATATTGAATTATTAATTAAAATAACTTTTTATGAATAATTAATTCTCATATAAAAAAAAATATATTTTTAGAGAAATCATATCATAACCAATCCTTAAAAATAAAGAAAAGTATAGATAATAAGAAAAATCTGAGCCAAACCCGAACCCTTTTTTAAGGTCCTAGTTGTTTTCCTTTTTAAAATATTTTTCCTTTGTAATTTTTTTTAATATTAAACTTTTATTTTATAAAATATGTTAAAAATAATAAAATATAAAAAATATTTAATTTAATTTTAAAGCAAGTTTTATTAAAAATAAGTTGAAAATTAAATTGATAATGTATCAAATATAATATGGATTAAATAAGTATAATAAAAATATTTATAACAATGGTGGCTATTTATAAAGTAAATTAATCATAATATTTCCTAGAATATGTCATATCTAAATTATAATTAAAATAAGGCAAAATTTGTTAAGTAAATTTAGTTTAGATAGTTTTAAATTTAAATAATGTTAAATAATCATAATTTGTAAATGAAAATCAAGGATAGCGAAACATTTCAAATTTAATGATAAGGGAGATTCTGAATGTAGAATATGTGATGTAGTATTATTAGGCCGAGTCATAATAGCAATTTGGAGAGACACTTTAAGAGAAATGACCGAAACAATTTGATGAATATTTGAGTAAAAACGAAAATCGTAGAAATTTCAACTACTATTAATTAAATCTGCTACAAGAAAATATAATATTCATAAAATCGAAAAATATTGTAGATTCTATTCATATTACGACGTCAGAAGATCTGACAAATGGTTTAATAGAGATGGTGATTGTAATAACCGCCCTTTTCAATCATTGAAAACTTGGGATTTAAAAAAATAATTAACCTTATTACTATAGCCTTAGATGTGATTACAAATCGTTCTAAAATTAGAGACTTGATTATAGATGAGTCAAAAATAGTGAGAAAAATAAAGAGAAACAAAAATAAATTAGTGTGTTTAAAAATTGATTCTGCTAAAAGATTAGATAGAATCATTCTGGGAATTTATTAATTATGAGGTAATATTATTGTATTAAGAAATTTGACGATGAAAGAAATAGCTATGGGAGATAATATGAATAAATAATTTTAGGGACCCTGAATAAATTCGGCATTTTATTAAACAACCTGTATACTATAACAACCGAAATGGTGCAAATTTAATAAATTCTATAAAGATTATAATGAATCTGTGGAAAGGGAGAATTGATATGAAATGATATAATATTATAAGAAATGGCGGATCTAGACCAAATGTTGAAAGATTTAACTCCAAAAGTTTTAACATTAAGTGTGCAGCAGGCGTATTACAGTTAGCCATTAATGATTTTAAAGACAAGTTTATAGACTATGTTACAACATCGGAAGTTATTCAAGAGGAAAAAGAATGGGATTCAATAGTTAGCATAAATGATTAAAACCACTTAAGGTGACAACTATGAAACTACAATAGGAGCAAATGTGCCTCTCCTAAAATGCCGTTTAGATTTGGAAAAAATAGACAAAATTTTTCCAATGAGATATTAGGAGATATAAAATTTAGAGAGGAAACTTATAAATAATAATATTCTTCATGCCTCATTGTATTTAGACCCCAAAAACCTATCAGGTAGAGGGTGCTTAAGTTCGTTTAACAGAATTATGGGGAAAATATAAATAAATAAATTAATGAATGCATCAACATAAATTTCAACCATAAATGATCTTGATAATTTTAAAAATTGCTGTTAGAAAAAAATATAATCATATTAACACCACAGCAAGGTGAACAGTTTCCAAAAGCTCATATAAATATTTTCACAAAATAATTATAAGGATGCAAATATTTTATACATCTGAGAAGAGAATTTTAATTTATCCAGATATACGCTGGCGAAAATTAAGGTGTCACAGCAACATAAGTATTAAATATATATTATATAAAACTTAATTATTAGGTTAGCGTTGAACAGTCATTCTCATCATTAAAATATATATTTTCGGACATCGGTAGAAGTTCTCAATGACGATATTTTAGAAGATATATTATGATAATTCGCCTAAATAAAATTTTTAAAATAGAAATACAATATTATCTTTTAAACTGCAAAATCAAGAAATTTAGAAAATATTTGGACTAATCAAAAAAATGTAAAAAAATATAGAAAAACATAAAAATATTTGGCCAAAATCATAAAAATGAAAAAAAATAATATTGTTGATAAACATTTCCTGTTTCTGAACTAAGATTGTAATTAGATAATTGAGCACTTTAATATATAAATAATTATATATATTTACAAATTAAAATCCTCATATCGATATTTTTTTTTCTTTTTAGCTTACACCTTTACGTGGTAAGCTCTTTTAATATCTCTCTCCACTTTATTACTCATTCAATCTCTTTTTACCTAATATATATTTCTGATATCCCACCGGAGTATTCTTATCGATTCCATTTGGATCTTGCACCAAGGTATCGCTATCGAGGCCACTGTCTAGATCTCACACCGAAGTATCAAATCGACAGATATCTCACCGGAGTATTCCTTACACCAATATCAAAATCAATATCGACAGATATCCCACCATAGTATTCTTAGCGATTCTATTGTAAATCTCCCACCTGAGTATCAATCTCGATGGATCTCCCACCGGAGTTTCGTTATCAAGTCCATTGTAGAATAGTAGACACTGTATGAACGGCCCCCGAGTCACCATTATCCTAGAGCTGGCGATCGCTATCATCCTTGAAAGGCCTACAAGTTCAGCTGGCCATCTTCCATTTGGTTTATTGGACAAATTTCCTAGCACCCGGCTGTCCAAGCCTATCGGTGACCAGGGTGGCACTTCTCAGCTCAGAAATTCATCTTATCATATGTCTATCAGTCATCGAAGAAAATGTTGCTTACCAGGATTGAACCTGAAACATTCGGTTTCCAAGCATATATCATAAACCACTAGGTACCCCGGCGATAATGATATATCGATATATAATACTTATTTTAAAAAATATAAAGTAAATATTATATATCGATATATATATATATCATTAAATTAAATATGTAAACATATATTTTAAAGATGCTCAATTATCTAATTGCATTTCCTCAGAAACTGTAAGTTTTTGTCAACATTATATTTTTTTTCATTTTCGTGATTTTGGCAAATATTTTCTATATTTTTTAAAAAAAATTCGTAATTTCGATTAAATATATTCCAAATTTTTTTTTATTTTCGTGATTTTGAACAAAACGTTCAAAATCCATTCTAGATTTTGAGGCAACACGATTGTGGGTATTATATTATATGTTATAATTATGATATTATTTTTATGATCAAGCATACTAAATATAATAAAATAAATTTAAAAAATGACGCTTCTGTTATTTTAGCTAAATTTTAAGTCATTATTTTTCTGGTCTCCAAATCCTAAACCCGAACAGGGATCAGAGATTTTTCACTGAACTCAAACCCTTTCTTTTATAAGGAGAGTTCACAGCAAAAATTTTCGTAATGATGATATATTGAGTTACTGCAACCAATAAGAAGATAATATGTAGATAAACCTTAACTTCAAGAATATTTAAATATGTTATTTAAATGAGAGATATTTTAAGAGAAATATCATTAAAGCACAATTTTGTTGGCACAACAGATGCTTCTGGGTTAACTAATTGCGATTTAAATGACTTCAACGACCTTCCCAGGCACACAAGATGATCTTGTCTAAACTTAGTGGCAACATAAGATGCCAACAAGATCTTTTTAGAAAATGATTATAAGAAAGCATAAAACATTGCCATGTCAAAATGCCAACGTTGTGGAATTTACAAAATAAATCTGGGACAACATTTTAACTAATTAAAAAGAGATTAAATTTTCAATTACCATACCCAGTATAACAAGATTGGGTAAAACTTTTTATTGATAATGAACATATATAGAAAATTTTATACAATCCATCAATAACACATTATGTGATGATTTCCCAGATTTTTTTATTAAATATAATATCATATAAAGTGCTCCCATAGAAAGTTTGTTCCATCTAGGGAGAGAAACGAGCGGGTCTTTTAGAAAATTTTTTAAACCCGAATTTTCATCAAAAAAATATTCAGTGCAAATATATGATATAATGATATTTTATTTTAGAGTAAATATATTCTATTCTCTCTTATTTTTTCAGTGTTATCTTCGTAAATTTTTTAATATTAAATAAAAAAAATGATGCACTAAACAAATATTTATAATGTAACTAGTGATTTTTAAAATATAACTGTAACTAGTTACTTTTCTGAGGATGTAACTAGCGACTAGTTATGTTTCAAAAGTAAATTTTAATAATACTAATATTTTCGCTCTTTATCTAGTAAAAAATATCCACTGGGAAAAGAAAGGAAAAAATTTCATAAATATGTATTTGTAGTGGTGTACCGCGATACCACTTTTTGGAGGCCGATCCGATATTAAATTGATATAGGCCGATTACCGATCCGATATCATATCTAATTTTGTATTCTGTAAAGATATCAATGGTTTTAATTTTTGATATACGATTTATTAATATAACATCTATAATTTAACTGTACCATAACTTATGTCATTTAAATATTTTATAATGATTATATATTTAATATTCAATTTAATTGCAATTCTAAAAGTATATAAAATATTTTTATGTTTAATTACTTTTTTATAACATTAATCTATAATAAACAAATATATTATGAAATTTGAAATAAATAATTAAAATAATATTTAACATTAATATATCGAAGATTTCTTTTTAGAAATACCAAAATTTCAAATTTATCAAAGGTCAGCCTGCGGCGATGATAACTGTCAATATCACCAGCTTCACTAAAAAGAGATTCTGAAAAGATTATCGCATACTTTTATAAACAGAATGCGCAAAAAAAAATAACAATATGGCAGAATGTTTATTAATTAAATATTATTATTAAAAAAATATACATAAAAATGGATTTCGCATTTAATTGTAAAAATAAATGATTTTAAATATAACTTTTTTTTAAATTTTATAACATTTTATTTTTGTTAAAGAAGCCATTTTATATCGGATCAGAAAATTTTATAATATTGGCCGATAACCGATATTTTAAAATATGAGAAATATCGGCCCGATCCGGTATAAAATATCGGTACATCCCTAGTCCGTTTGGTAGTTTCAACATCATGTTCACTGGGAAAAGAATATAATATGCTTTTTTGAAATAATAAGCCCATAATCGAATTTCGAGGGCCATTTTATAGAAGCAAAAAATTAGCTTAGGAATCTTCCGACAAGATTTCAAATTATATGGTCATCACCGTAGGAAAATGGCATTTTAATTAATTATTATTTTCTTTATTTTTTATATATTTATTCTTTAAACTGTTTTCTTTTTTTTAAATTGCTTTATTTTAAAAATTACTTTTTTAAATAATTGAGATTCTAATAAATAATGATCTCTAATCAATAACCAATCATTATCAAATTAATTTTATTCCTTTCGATAGTGATGCATATGTTAACGTCAATGTGTTTTTTATAGGTGGTATTATTTTTTCAACTTAAAATTTTTTTTGAGCACGTTTTTTTAAATTTCATAATCTGAGCTCGGAAATGTATTCCAGCATGTTTGAAAACCTATCTTATATGTTGTAGACAATGTTGCCGTTAAACTAAGCCATTTATAATTTATATAGAAAAGTATAAATTTAAGGCTAGAAAATGCTTTTTCTACGGATATATGCGTAGCTGGAACTGCTAAAAATGAATATCAATTATATTAAGTTCAAAAGTTCGTAGCAAAATTGTTTGAAATTCATAGCGTAGTGTAGGCACAAACATGATAGAATATATTTAACACATTCAGATTTTTTAATTTAAAAAAACGCATTCAAAAAATGATTTAAAGATGAATTGCCGTTAAAAACACATTGACGCTAACACATATAATGACTTTATTTCAGGATGTATTTAAAATCAGACTTTTTAAATAAGGGTGGATTTCATATGACCAAATACTTGAGGATTTATGACTGCATTTTTAAACAGTCTAATATTTATTCATATTAAAAAGGAATAGCTTCAAGTCTGAAAATGTAAATTTTAAACATTATACAAACATAAAAAGATTAAATTTACTTTAAAATATTAGGTCTCATTAGAAAATAGGCATGGTTACAACTACAAGCATAACATAGATGAGGATAATAACTATAAATTCTGATTTTAGGAATACTTTAACTCATATAATGAGCTCATATATTTCTTTTTGAATGAAGGTTTTATTTTGATTTAAAACTAATAGTTTAGAGGTAGAAAGTGTAAATTTAGAAATAATTATTTTGAGCTCTAAGTATCCTAGTGAAAGTAGTACACTAAAAAATAATATTCAAGCATATTAAGTCAATAGCCAATACTATGTACAATTTCTAATGAGAAGCGAAAAATATTGACAAAATAATATACCAAAAGGTTATAATTATCAACCTTAAGAAATCTGTTAAAGATATTCGTTTTGATCGCAAAATCCTTGGATTTAATGCAAAAAAATCATTAAATATATTAGATTGTGTCAAACAATAACTTCCACACCTAATCCTTTTACTAAATAATAATTTTGACAAAAGGTATCTGCGGGTATCAAGTATGAATTTGATAATTATTATGTTTGGTTATTTTTATTTTCACACCCTGTTTCATTTAAATTTATATGATAAAAATGTATAAATTCACCTGAGAACCAAAAGCGCTATCCGATTCCTCGATGATGATTGTTGAGCCATTACGAGCTGAATCCAAATAAAACGATTCCATATAAGACCTGCATGTAAAAAATATATATAATTCTTTGAAAATATGGATAGAAGAGGAGATAATAAACCCCCCCCCTTCCCCTGTAATAACAATCGCCTTGATGAATGTTTATAAAAAAAAGTTAACTTTTATTGTGTTTAATATTAGATTGGACCCAACCGGGCTGATGGCCCCACAGTCTGTTCTGTTTATCATTTATATTTTTCTCTTTGTTTGTACAATATTCGTATATTACCATTTATATTTTTCTTTGTTCACTTATACCGAGCCTGATTTGATTTCATCCTCAAAACTGGTTCTAGCCAGTTTTCGAAATGGACAAAGATGAAATTAATATTTTTTTATTATTGTTTGACTGAAAAAAGGGAACTATATAAAGACCACGGAAAATGAATTGTGATTCATAAAATTTTGATTTTATTTTATTTATATGATATGAAATGGATGTTTTACTGTTTGATAACCAATTAAAATAAATTCGTGTTTTATTAATTCTTCGACTTAGTCCCTGTGATTCCACGACGAAATGATATCCAAATCCGGCTCCCTCGGACTTAACGGTCCGACAGTCCAGTTGTCTTAGAAAAAGACCTGATTAAGTGCAAACATTACTTGAACTCTAAAATTTATAAAAGGGTTGAGGTTTGGGTTCAGTAAAATCTCGAGGGTTCGAGTTCTCAGCCCTCTAACTTGAAATCGAAAAATTTAAGGAAACACAATAATAAAAGATAAGCCAATTCGTTAAGCTGAGGATCTGTATATTTCATCGTCAGTCTCATCATTAAAAACAAAATTAGAACATCATGAGGTTTAAGTTTGATAATCAATATCATTTCATGATATAATTATAAATAATATTTTGAGATCCTCAATATCAGACAGTATATTTAAAAAGTTATATATTTTAAAACCCTTTTTTATAAAATATATTTCTAATCCCATCCAGTTCTCCCGTTGAGAACATATTTAAGCGAAGAAAGATTTATGAGTGTTCTGGGACTAAGCGAGTAGCCTTACAGATATGATTATTATTAGGGCGCTAGCATATTTTAAAATTTTATAAAAAAAATATTATTAAAAAAATATCTCTTGTCTTTATCATATTCTTTTTACACTTATTAATAGAATTTCCTGAGGCCATAATTTGTAGGTATATCTTGTCATTATGGTGAATCTACTATCCTTATTATTTGATGTCACCTATGTGGTAAAAATAAGGATGTGATGTAAAAAAAAAGAAATATATATCTCTTCAATAATTTCATTCTTTTTTAGTGACCGCCAAAAATCGTCATAAACATCTGTGATTAGTCTTTTTATTTAGACCAAGATACTGAGCCCATCTTTTATACCATGAGGAAAAGAAAGTATAAAAATAAAATTTATATACCACCTGTATAAGGTTATCACAATAACCAAAGTAAACAAGGAGTAAAGTGTATCAAAGTTCACTAAAATAGTTTTCTCTACTTTAGAAGAACTAAGAGTATTGGAAAAGATTTCCATTTTACAAAAATTTATATGTAAATAAAATTATTTAACTTGTAAAAATTGATAAGAACATATATATCAACTCAAGTAATTTATTTGCAAATAAATTAAAAAATATGGAAATGTTTTCCATCAACTGTACTGTAATAACAATAATAGATCCCAAAACAGTGGCAGGACTAAAATTAAAAATGGCTATCAAAATTTTTGATTAAATAGATATAAAGGTAATAAACATTCATGTGAATATCAACACCCAAAAAAATCACTTCTCAACAATGTTAATATTATATTTTTACAGGAAATAAGAAAACAATTGTAATTTTTGGAAATGACTAAAATACGCGCCCCCTATTAAAGAAGCTTAATTAAATTATATTAATATAGAATCGTATATTTAACGATATAAGATGTATTAGAAAATGTTTTCTTATTTTTAAAAAATGGTAACATGAAATTTTTTAAAAATAATTTTCTTACATAAAATATGCGCCCATCAAAGAAGCTCAATCTATAAAAAGTGAATGCAGAATCATATAGCTTATTAAAAGGAATCAAAAAATGTTAATATTATATTTTAAAACTTTTAATAACTTAGTGGGCTTTTGAAAAACACATATTTTTTTGATTAAACTATGCGCCCCTACGCCCCCCCCATCAAAGAAGCTTAATTATAAAAAATTAAAGCATAATCATATTAAACTCATTAAAAATAATCAAAAAATGTTTATTTAGTTTATATTATAACTTAGTGGGCTTTTGAAAAAAACAATTTATTTCTTCTTTTTTTAACTAAACCATGCGTAATGAGTTTAATATGATTATGCTTTAATTTTTTTTTAAATAATGTATATTCACCTAGGGCGCGTAGTTTAGTCAATAAAAGAAGAAATAAAGTGTTTTTTTAAAGCCCACTAAGTTATAATAATTTATAAACTTAATATTAACATATTTGATTTCTTTTAATGAGTTTAATATGATTATGCTTCAATTTTTTATGAAATAAGCATCTATGGTGTAGTTTAAAAAAAAATTTTGTTCGATAATTAAAATTTTTTTATAAACATGATTCTGTATTCATTTTTTAAAAATAATGTATATTTATGGGGGGGGGGGGGGGGTAGTTTAGTCAAAAAATGAAGAAATAAAGTGTTTTTCACAAGCCCACTAAGTTATAAATAATTTATAAACTTAAACATTTTTTGATTCTTTTAATAAGTTTAATATGATTATGCTTAAATTTTTTATGAATTAAGCTTCTTTGATAGGGGGGGGGGCATGGATTAGTCAAAAAAATGTGTTTTGTCAAAAGCCCACTAAGTTATAAAAAGTTTTAAAATATAATATAACATTTTTTGATTCCTTTTAATAAGCTATTCTGCGTTCATTTTTATAAATTAAGCCTCTTTGATAGGGGGCACGTATTTTAGTCAAGTAAAAAAAAATCATTTTTTAAAAATTTCACTGTTGCCATATACCATTTTTTTTAAATAAAAAAAAACATTTTCTAACACATCTTATAAAGCTAAATAAGATTCTATATTAATATAATTTAAATTAAGCTTCTTTAATAGGGCACATATTTTAGTCATGCACAAATTTTTTAATTTTTTTTTTATATTTTCTAATGTATAATTTTAAGGGCTATAAAAATATATAATTTGTAGCTCTATCTTAAGTATATTATTTTTAAAAAAGATTTAATTAAATCATATGATTTTTGACTAGGCATAAATCTTTGGATTTAGTTGATCTATCGCTATAAAATTTTGATTTTATTAAAATTTATAATATAAATAACCAATATGACAACTTTCATCATTTTAAGATGATTGCCTGAAACACTGATTGATTTGTAGTAGAATGACCCCAAAACAACTATAACAATTTTTAATATTTTAAATTTTTGAGTTAACCTTTATATAAAAATTATTTGGAAGTAGAGCAATATTTAGGAATTGTAACACTTCTTATACAAATAAGCCTTTTTTTAGTCCAAGCTCCAAACTTTAATAAAAATATGAGTAAAAAAAATTTTCAAATAATGATATATATTTTTAGAAAAATTATGCAATTGAATCCCCAGAAAAATTAATCTTAAATCATCCAATAAATTGTTAAAATCAAAATAAAACCAGGTCAAAATATGTATACATAAATTAGAACCAATCATTTTAAAATTTATATGATCACAACAATATCAAAATATAATTTTATATAATTTATCAACCTATCTCCTTTAACTTCTAAAAAATTTGGCCATTTCAATGTATTGTTCTTATCATTAATCATAACCCTTTTTAACTGTTGAATGACCTCCATTTTAAGATCATCATAATGTGCAGGTACAATTGTTGATATAGGTAAAATGGTAGTACTAGCAAATGGTGGGAAAAACTAATATTAAAAAAAAGATACATGAAATACAATTCAATTAATATCTTGATGTTAGACATTTATATATTTAGCATAGCTTACAAAGAGGGCTGGAAAATTAAGAACTCCAAATTGTTGACATATATTAGTAGTATCAATATTATCACCACAATTTATTGCCCCCAGCCTTAAGACATCTGCCCATTCTATAAAATTTAATATTAGAGTTAACTAAACATAAAAATCCCAAAAACCTTTTGTTTCATCAGCAAGACGTTTCCATACTTTTGAATATTGTTTACAATGAGGGCAATAATGAAGATACCATTTTATATACCATGCATATGGCTTATTGAAAATTAAGGTATCTACATTTGAATCATCAAATTCGATTACATTATTAACACCATTATATAATGATAAGCTTTTATCGCAATTGGCATTTAGAAAATTAAAGAGTAACAAGTAAAAAAAATTGTATGAAAAACCCATGTCATTAAAATAATCGGAATGGGATGGGTGAAGAATAGAAAATGCCCCACCTAGCATAAAACAAAAGGAATTATAATAATGAAAAAAAAATTTTAGAATATAAAAAAAGTTTTCTATTTTTTGTAAAAATAATTTTGTTGAGCAAAACTTCTAGTATTTCGAGCAATCATTATGAGCATTCAGGGGGTGGGCAAGTTTCAAAAAAATGTGCTATTTCCAGTTCAATTTTATTAGCCTCATTATTTTTAGAAGGTATATTATTGAAATAAAAATAGTTACTGGTCCAAATGCATTAACCCTGTCCTTAAAATAGGCATGTGCTTCATCAAGCAACACGATTTTGCAATTTTGTTTTATCATCATTATCAATTAATGTCGTAAACGTTTTTATAAAAACATGGACCAAAGCGTGGGAATATATATGACAATTTATGAATCATAGGCTATTAGATATTTTACATTGACTCCACATAATATTATCATTGGGAGTGGGACAGTGAAGTCTTAGCATATAGGGAAGATTTAAGTGTTAAAACCCAAAAGTTGAATAAGCTATATATTATATTGAATCTTGAATCAAAGATAATTGTTTTCAGCGCTAGACTTTAATATTGTTCTTTCCAGATTCTCTTTCATGGTTGTTTTTTGAAGCTTCTAAAGCATTAATTAAACAATGTAAAAAGACTACAAGTAGATAGATTGAGAAATAAAGATCGATATTACATTATAAATATTGATGATATTTTTGTAGGTAATATAAATCCGAGTATATTTGATATTTAAGTAAATTGTCTTTTGTATCATATTTTATCAATCTTATAAATTTAGTCACACCCTTAAAAAAATATCTTTATTCCTTATTTATTCAACACGATTTTTAAAAAATATTTACTCAAATAACTTATTATATAATTTTCTTATATAATCGGATTCAAAGTCACCTTAAACCTAAAGTGCTAAAATTGAGAAATATTGTAAATTATAAGATTTATAATGTTGAAAATTTAAAGACTAAATTAAACATAACAATAAGTAAAGCAAGTTATACTGTTGTATATAATATAATATTTTATTATATGAATTGATTAAATGAAACTTGTACTTATATAAATATATAATAGTGAATTGTTTGAATTCGCAAATTATGTTAATCAATTTAAATTGAAACTTTTTGTCCTGAGCGTTTTCTTTGTAATAAATAAATAAAAGTTTAATATCTAATTGTAGTAAAGAAGTAATCTATTGTAATATTTTATCATATTATATTTGCCAGTTATATATGATTATATATAATTAATATAATAGGTGTTGTTTAACTTCCTAATGTATTATGTACACACCCATCCATTAACGTGTAATTATATATCGCCATTTGTAATTAAGTACACCTTATGGTTAAATTATACTGAATAAAATGTCAATGAAAAATGATACTTATTGTGATTGAATTATAGAAATAAATAAATGTAAGTTAAAGTGGCGACGACGAGGATTCTAATTAAAACAAGTAAGAAAATAGTTATTAATTTTATAAATTATGCCTCAATCCAAAAATACTAGTATAATTGATAAGTTAGAAAAATATCAAATTAATGGGTCTATACAACGTTGGTTCCAATTTTGGGACGCAACGTTAAGACTAAAGAACTGGACATTAACCGATCAAGAAAATAAGGACCTGTTCATAATGAGTTTTGGCTCTGAGGGCATTGACATTCTCGAACAATATTTATTTTCTGAAACCATTCTAACGACTAAATTTGATAAGATAGGGAGTGTCTCGCTACATATTTTTGAGAAGAATAAAACCATTTTCGGTAGTAGATTAGACTTCATAAGGTTAATTAGGAATGAGTATGAACCAATTGGAGAGTTCGCTAATAGAATCAAAATAACTGCGAAAGCGTGTTGTTTTACGCCGTCAGAAGTTGACGGCCGGTTAAGAAATCAATTTGTTGCGGGTATAGATCTACCAGGTCTCAAAGTTGAACTTAAGACTAAATATCCTTTAGCATTGGATGTGAACAAAAAGCCCCTGACGTTCCCGTTTGTGCTAGATAGGCCACGGCAACAGAAAATGCTCAAAACGAAATGACTATCAAGAAAGACTTGGTAAATAGTGTCAGACCGCTAGATTGCAAACATAAAATGCCTAATTCACAAGAGCGTGTTAAGAGAGACAATAAATATAGGAAGCCTAATAACAAGTTTTACGATAATAAATGTAAGAATTGTACCGGCTGGCATGAAAGATATTTAAGCCCAGCTAAAGACAAAACATGTTTTAAGTGTCAAAGAACGGGACATTTCGTAGCATGTTGCTGTAGTAAGCCTGTATATCGAAATTTAAACTCAGTGAAACCACATTTTCACTCAAGTGATTCAATTAATAATCTCTGGACAAGGGGATTAAATAAAAGGGCAAAGGTCACAGCCAAAATAAATGGACTTTGTGTCACTTTTGATTATGATACAGGAGCACAAGCCTCAATTATAGGATTATATATTTAGGAGAAAATTGGCAAACCACTAACATCTTCCACAAACCCATTAGCAGCCTATGGAGATAAGCCTTTGGATCTTATGGGTGAAGCCATGATTCGTGTGCAAGTGTGGAAGGAAATTCGCAATTTATCAGTTATTATTATAGAGTCAAATGACCTACCTCTGTTTGGATTGCCATGGATTTTAGCATTTGGGTTTGAGTTACCGAGACAGGTAAGCATACAACAGGTTCTCAAAATGAATAGAAAAACAATAACATCAAGTTGCCACCAAACCAACGTGCCCCGATGGGCCGCTCGAATACAATCGGTGCCCCGCGGGCCGAAGCCCCGATGGGCCGTTCGAATACAATCGATACTCACAGGAATCGAGGATGTCACTAACGGAAAACTCAATGGGGCATTTGTTAGCTAAACAAGTTAAAGCTGTTTTTAACGGCAAACCAGGGTTGATTCGTAATTTCGCCGTGCGACTCCAATTAAAAGATACGGCTGTTCCAAAATCGTTTCCAGCTCATCGAGTGCCATTTCCGTTACGCAGAGCGGTTGAACTAGAACTGGATCGCCTTGTATCTGCGGAGATTTTGGAGCCCATCAATTCCTCTATAACTAGGGTGCAGTGACGTAGCTATGGGGGTGGTTTTCGGGTTTGGACCCCTCCCAGAGCAATTTTAGATTATACGTTCAAAAGACTTAAAAGTGACTTTATATCAAATAAATACAATATTTATATTTTTCTGATTTTGATGTCTGTGGAAAGATATTATATTACTATTGAAGTTATTCTGGATAGTATTATTATAAAGTCTTTGAGAATAATCTACTAAATTATAATAACATATTATTTATGCATTTAAATAATATATTTATTATATATTATCGAAGATATGGTTATGATTTTAGGATAAACCTGGCCGAACACCCCCCCCCAGGTTTTTATATGTATGGACCCCCTCTAAGGAAAATTCCTAGCTACGCCACTTAGGGTGCCATGGGCAACCCCAACAGTAAATGTCAGGAAAAACAATGGCGAGATTTGTATTTGCACAGATTTCAAGGTGAGTTTAAATCCCCATCTATTATATGATCATCACGTTATTCCTATGCTGGCTGACTTATTGGTTAAGATTAAAGGGGAGAACCGTTTTATGGTGATAGATTTAAAGGACGCGTATCTACAAATGGCCGTTGAGCCAGAGTCCATAGAATATTTTATCATCTCAACACATAAAGGATATTTTCGATACCGAAGGATGCAGGAGCGTCTATAGCCTTCACAATCTCAGGGGGCTCAACTAAAAAAAATTTATGGGGGCGAAGCCCTCCATACCCCCAATTTGCGGGCCTTTGGTCCGCTTTTGCCTGGCCTTCGGCCGGGTTTTATATTAATATATTATACTTTTTTAAAATTTGCTAACTCTGAACAATTATTCTGATTTTCATATTTTGTCATTTATTATATTATGCATAAATTGGCATATAAAAAATGACATAATGCAATAATATAATTCTTAGCAACTACATTGACAAAAGGTTATCAAACTAGTATAGCTCTCTGTTACCATTTTAGACAATTTTTTATAGAAAGGACTAATAAGGAAAATTTATTGGCCTAAACCCAATCAACAATTTTTGAAGGAGAGAGTATAAATGACCAATCTAAATCATAAAACTATATGGTGGTTAGAGCTTCCTCTTAGAAGACATGATGGAAGCTAGATAAGCAATCGAGAAAATTATTGTGAAAATTTCTAAAAGATTATCTTCCATTTTAAATGATAGATAAACGACTACACAGCTGACCATTATTGTTTATCTAAAATATGCAATTATATGCTCTCAGCCGTATAGTAATAATCTTAAATTACATAGCAACACAAATAATAGATGCTGGTTAATTTGCAGTAATAGCCATGACACTCATGATGTAAACAAATATCAGAATATATATGTTGGATAAATTGATAAAATAAAAACACTATAAATCTTTGGAAGAAATAATTATGCAAATATATTGAAGCCTGGAGTTATTTATACGGCAATGCCATATTAGAAATGAAACATTTTCTAACTATAAAATAAGGACCAGAATGATTTGATGAAACAATTAAGATTTTACATATTGTCGCACCACCATGATATATTATATCTTAAATTAATAGTAGTTTGTAATAATATCAAAAATATACTTGTATTAAAAATTTAACTCAAGACTGTTTTTCGAAAAAGAAAAAAATAGCTTTCCTAAAAACACGTAAAAAAAGAGAAGAAAATATATCAAATTTATTTTATCTATTGCAGGATGAATAATAAAATATTTAATTTTTAAAATTATTTATATCTAAATAGATGGCGTTAAATACTTGAATGCAATTTGTTATCATAATTTGTTATCATATTTATTACCAAAACCATTTATTATCAAAACCATTTATTATCAAAACCATTTATTATCAAAACCATTTATTATCAAAACCATTTATTATCAAAACCATTTATTATCAAAACC